GGCATGGTTGAGGTGTTCATTGCTATTCATCGAAGGTCATACCCGCTGTTCAAGACCACCCTGACAGATGACTGAGGCTGCCAAGGCAGATTGCGTGCTGGCACTCTGCGGCTGAGCTCGCATCGGCGTATGACACTTGCGCAGGTCGCGTACTTACAGACCTGACTTAGACAGGAGGGGTTCTGAGTCCTTGGTGTGTGGCCCTGCAAGCTGATGCGGCAAGGTCACGGTGAGAAGGAGGACGCTGCTCGAAGCAGCCGTGCCGTTCCCCCCCTGACGTCTTGGTGCGGCGTCCAGACCTACGAGAGTCCAGCATGGCACGACCACGCCATTAGCGGTGGTGACGGCCCGTCACAAGGGCGCTCGGCTATCACACATCCCGCGCGACCTCGTGGCATCGAGGTCCCTGTCCGTGCCACGCCACGCCACAGAGCGCATCTGGACCGCGTTAGGCGGTGGTCTCAGCGAGGACCCTTCGCACGCCGCTTCGATTGCCCGGCGGCAGCCACGCTCGGGCAAGCAGGCCACGGTCTTGGAAGTTCTGGAACAATTGGTCTGGGCGTGCGAAGCCCGGGACAAGGGGACAGGCTCCACATGTTCCAGAGATCCAATGACCGTTGCTCGGGCAAGCGACGTTCAGGGACAGCCGACGCACATGCCTGCGTGGGGTTCGGGTCCGCGTGGCGTGCTCTGCGAACGTCCGGTGCCACGCCGGTACTGTCTAAGACAGGCCGCTGGCATTGGGCAAGACGAATGCGACGAGCGAGCATGAGAATCGCCATCGCCTGGCGGGATTGATGGCCATGGCTGCCAGGCGAGTCGGAGGTAGGCGAGGTCTGCAGGCCGCAGCAGTGGCAGTGGCAGCGACAGCACTGCACAGTTGATCACGATCATGACGAAATGGCCGACGCAAGTGTCAGCAACGCAGCAGCAGTCACTGCGATCTGCCCGGCCTGTCGTTGACTACCGCAGTGCCACCTAGCATAGGGCAGAGATCGGACGGTTAGGACGCAACCCTGGACACCGTCCGAGACGACTCATCGCGTGCGTCGCGCGCAGGCGGACAGGAAGGCGGGCATGTGCCACACTGCGAGTTCGAAAGACGGCCAAGGCCAGCGGACGATGTTTCCCAACCACCCCGGCTAAGACCAATTGAATCTTGATTCTGCACGCGCGCGAGCCACCGCTGGCCATGCAAGCGACTGCGGGGGACGGCCGCCCCTCGCACTCATCGAGCGCGATTCACAATCTCCGACCAGCGCGCAGACTCATTATTCGCATCGACGCGGACACGGACAGCGCCTGCCTCCCGCGCTCGATTGACCTGCCACGCGCCGGAGGTGGGGGTTATTGGACGCTGACTCAAACTCTCCGGGCTTCGGCAGGGCGTCTGGCCCTGGCGCCGGCGCGCAGGGTGACGACAGTCTCTGCGCTGCTGGCCTGGATTGGCGCCGGGTCGGTGTCTCTTGTGTCACGGAGGCGAGGCGAGCTCCTGCGATCCAACCGATCTCCCACGATGCGCCAGTAGAGGTATGCGATGGTGAATGAGGAGGAGGTGGCGGACGAGGATAAGGAGATGAGGGGGAGATATCTGCGAGCGCCGTATATATGAGCCGATGGAGGCGACAGACTCGCCACACTCAACCTCGACCTCCCATCTTCACTTCCAATCATCAGCCACTTCAATCACCAACGCTCAGGCACAGCCGCACAACCTTCATTACTACTGTCTGCACCGTCGCACAGGCTGCGATCGTGACACCTCAGCTCCACCACAGCGCACACTCTTGCATCGGCCAATCACAATGGTCTCGACCCGATCCTTCCTGACCGCGGCCGCTCTGGCCAGCGCTGCGCTCGCCTCGCCCGTTCAGCGCCGCGAGTACAGCAACAACGACAACGCCAACGCCCACGTCCACGGCAGCAGCAACGGCAATGGCAATGGCGAGGTGAGCGAGCTCGGCGAGCCCGTCGTCGCGGGGGGCTCGAAGCGCGGCCTCGCGTTCAACTACCGGACGAACACGCAGCTCTTCGACACGGGCGCCATCTCGTGGTCGTACAACTGGAACCCGGCACACCCTGGCGAGCAACCCGTCGGCGAGTTCGTGCCGATGCTGGGCAGCATGAAGGACCTGGACTACTGGCACAGCGCGATGGCGTCGCACGGGCAGGTCAGCCACATCCTGGGCTTCAACGAGCCGGACCACGCGGGCCAGGCGAACATGTCGCCCGGCCAGACGGCGGCGTACTACAAGCAGTACATCACGCCGTACCAGCAGGAGGCGCAGCTGGGGTCGCCGGCGTGCACGAGCGCGAACGAGCCGGGCAAGGGCCTCGACTGGATGGGCCAGTTCCTCAGCCTCTGCTCCGACTGCGGGATCGACTTCATGACCACGCACTGGTACGCCAACCCGATGGTCGGCGGCGAGCAGAACGCCGTCGACTTCCTCAACTACGTCGACAGCGCGGTCAACCTCGCGCACCAGCACGGCATCGACAAGGTGTGGATCACCGAGTTCGGCTTCGGCTACGGCTCGCCGGTGCCGCGCCAGGAGCGCACCATCTTCATGGAGAAGGTGCTGCCCGCCCTCGACGCCAACCCGGCCATCGAGCGCTACGCCTACTTCCTCGACCTGAACCTCGAGGACGGCGACCCCAGCGTGCTCGAGGAGGAGGCCAAGACGTACATCCACTGATCGTGATCGGTGCGGTCTGGCGGTGCTACCTGGGCCCGACTTCGCTTCTCTGGCCGTGTTGACCACGCGTCGCCACCTCTTTTATGATGGTTCTTCTCCTGTCGGCGTTCTAATCTGCTCTTCGCCTTGTCTGTTGCATTGAGTGCACGCAGCGCCTCTCATCGCTTTACTTCATACTCTCCTGCTGTATCTGCATTTCCACTGGTATAGTCATAGAGCAGGCTCTGGGATAGTCGCATCCAGAATCCAAGCATATCAACGAGTCAAGCGTGCCGCTGTCGATGACACTGGTTACTATCAACCTCCTCTATGTCTTACCCTGGCGACGTGAACGTGATTCACACTGGGCGCTCTACCATACTTCCCCAATGTCCTTCGTGAATGACAAGACTTGCTCGCCTGCATCGAGACGAGACTTGGTGCGAGTCCCAGACTCATTGCATGGCAGGGCAGGGCATTCAGGGCATTCAGGGGGCGAGGCGGCAGGCGAGGCGGAAGGCGAGGCTTGAGAGAACCCCTGCTGTCAGGGGCAAAAAGAAATCTCCTTAGCGGGGAATCGAACCCCGAGCTGCTGTGCACAATTGAACCACGGAACACGCGGGAATTGAAAGACAGCGATGTTAGCCGTTACACCACTAAGGATTGCGCTCAGAGGATGGTACGCGAGATGTACATGTGCGCGTCGGCAGCAATCTCTCTACTAGATGTACTGTACTGTGCAGCCGTGGGGCCGATCCAAGTCCAATGGTGGCTCTGCTCACTCATGCCGACTGACTGACTGACTGACTGACTGTCCATTCCTCTGTCTGTCTGTCTGCCGCGCCGGGGCAGTCAACGAATTAAGATCCAGCAAATCTCGCGCAGGGCGACGGGCCATTGCAGACTGAGGCAGAAGCACCGCTCAACGGCTTGGCGTGGCACAGACAGGGAGCTCGAGCTGGCCCGTCGAGAGCCGCCGTGTCCAGCGCACGGGCCAGTGCTGCTGCTGCTGCTGCTGCTGCTATCTCTCCAGGCAGTCTTGCAGTCCTGCTGCCTGGCATTGCCATTGCGCCAGGCATCGAGGATCGAGGAGAGGATAGTATAGCAGGCACCAGGCAATCGGCACCAGGCAACAGGCAACTGGCAGCGGTTTTCCCCCACGCCGAGGGTCAGCCTGGAGGCTGCCGCCAGACTCGACCTGAGCAGGCCATGCCATGCCATGCCATGCCATGCCATGCCGCGCCTCAGACAGAAGAGCAGACGGAGTGGGAATGGAGTGGGCCGGCCGTCCGAGCGCTGCACTGGCAATCTGCACCGGGACGAAGCAGAGGTGCAGTGCTGTAGAGTACTTGCAGGCTACCTGCTGCCTGCGCGTGGGCCCCGCCCAGTCCCAGGTACCGCACAAGTAGCACAGCGTACCTGTGGGCGGGCCTGAAGACTGGCTGCTCTGGCTGCTCTGGCTGCTCTGGGGGCTCTGGGGAAATCCATGCAGATGCAGATGGAGCTGGCGAACACGAGGCGACGGCGGTGGCCTCGCTGGCGGCGTGGATGGCATAGCATAGCATTACCTTGCATGGCGCTGATCTGATGCTCGGCTGCGCCTGTGCTTTGCTTTGCTTGCAGGCACCAGCACAAGTGTCAGCACGAATATCAGCATCACCACCACCACCACCTCGTCTCACGGCGCGCGCATGCGAGGCGCAAAGCGCGCGCGTGTTGAAAAGAGCTGCAGCATTTCACCCTACCCTGCCATGCCATGCACATCTGACGGCCCTGAGACTCCGTTCCTTGTCCCCGTCCCCCGTCCTATGTACATACACACATGCATACATACACCATCCCTTCACATACACCAGCATCCCCGCATGTCTCCTCTAGCCAGACGAA